GAGCAAATAAAAGCAGCCGCTTTATAGCTGGCAACGCTCAAATTTGAAGAGTTGAAATGACGGCCGTTCACTAGCTGATATTTTTAGCGATAACCAGCTCGTTAATTAAATTATCTCAGTGAGTGACTGAAAGAAGTGTAACAGGCTTTTTTTTAATGTCTTGTTTTATGGATTCAGCCAACTGGTCTCAAGCTAAAGCCAAACTCACCAGAGTGAAACTGTGGGAAAATCCACTCACTGGCCACTTTATTAATTACTCCTTGCTAATACTAAGTTGAACCCCTTGTGCCTTAAATCTTCATGGCATAGATGCAACAAGGTGCTGGAAACTTTCCTCAGACATTTCAGTCTGTGTTGACATGACAGCATCACACAGTTGTTGCAGATTTGTCAGCTGCACGTCCAAGATGTGAATCTTCTGTTCCATTAGATTCCAAAGATGATCTGTTGGATTGAGATCTGGTATCCATGGATACTCATTGTCATGTTCAAGTAACCAGTTGGAGATTTTTGGGGCTTTGTGACCATGTTGCGTTATCCTGCTGGAAACAGCCATTAGAAGATGGACATACTGCTCACTACAGGATTGACATGGTAAATGGACAATAGGTAGGCTGTGGCATTTAAATAATGCTCAACTGGTACAAAAGGGCCAGGGTGTGCCAAGAAAATATCCTAAACACTGATACACCAGCACCAGCTGGTTTATCAAGCCTCAACTGTCATAGCTTAGTACAGCAGGATGAAACCATGTGTTTTTTAGATTTCGAATCTTGTAACACAGGTTGAGACTGATCTAACCACTCAGTTCACACTTGAGTCTGTGTGAACTGTAGCCTCAGTTTCTTGTTCTTAGCAGTGGCACCCGGTGTGGCCTTCTGCCTCCAAAGGCCATCCGCTTTAAGGAAAATGCCAGTAGTTTCTGAAACACTCAGACCAGCCTGTCTGTCACTATCAACCATGCCACATTAAAAGTCACTTAAATGACCTTTCTTCCCTGTGCTGGTATTGAGCAGTTCATCTTGCCACATGCCTGAATGCGTTGCTGCCATATGACTGGATGATTGAGTAGGTTGAGTATGTATAACTAATAAAGTGGCTAGTGAGTGTAGTAATTTGGATTGTCTAACAGCATGTTTTTACTGCAAATATACAAAAAGTGTTTGTAGTGTGAGGACTAACAAGTGTGTTTGGCCTTTGTAACATTTTTAAGCTAATTAATTTTTCCAAAAATACAAAAAAAGATGAGTATGCTCATGCTCATGCATTTTATTCCAGCATCATCACCCCTGTCTTGAAATAACATTGTTATTATTTATTGCTAACTTCTTCTTTTTTTTTTTTTTTTTACACCAAAGCAAGTCAATGTTCTTTTGTACACTTGCACTGTTTTTTATATATATAAAAATCAAACACACACACACAGGAAAACCTGATCATGTTCAGCTAAATCTCCATTAAGTGAGATAAAATGAATTCTCTGTACATCTCCTGTGCTTGCTCTTTCCCGGCACTGGTCGACTGGCCAAATAATAGGACACGAGTCCCCACCTCCGCGTCTCCAAAGGAGCCTGAAATCCTGTCACACTCACTTGCGTGCACATAGACACTCACAGGTTGTGCATGGACTTACACACACGTACCATTCAGAAACACCCACGTTAGGTCTGACGATCTGCTGACAGACATCCAGGCAGAGCACTGATTGTACCTTAATCCCTCTCCATGGCAACAACAATAGGTGCGTGTGCAATGACCAGGCCTAGGAGAGAGTTACAGTATATATTTGTCTTCATCACATACGCACACACATGTTCTCTCTCTCTCTTTCATAGATGCAGCGGCACTGGATTTATCTGGTGATACTCAGATATGGCTGATAGGGTTAATTGGTTTTCCGAGGGCATGTAGGGGGAGAATGGCTGACACTGACCAGATTACTGCAGACACACCAGGGAAGACCTGCCAGAGACAGACAGAGCAAGGAGCCCGAGAAGAGCAGAGAGAAAATAAATGTAACTGATGACCCGAGAGCAGGAAGTGCAGGCAGTTGGAGAGGTGGAAGAAGATTTACCTTTCTCCCTTTAGAGCTCAGAAGTCAAATAGTGAATACAAGAGGCAGTGAAAGCTGTGAAGTTAAAGCAAAGTTTGAGGGCAAATAGAAGCTAAATTAGATTGGATATGGCAAATGTTAATTCCCTTAATTTCTTTTGTTGTTATTGTATTGCTATTTTATATTGTATTTTTCTAACTGAAGGGCCTGAAGGCTTTTTAAATTAATTATCCTGCCACTTTATCTGAAACCATAATTTCACGCTATATTGCATTGAGTTTGGATGCAAAGTGTTTGAATTATATTGCATCACTTAACTAAACAACTTTCCCCCATTAAAGGTGAATATCACTGATTTTATACTTTTTGGAGAATATTATGTGTTAATATAAATATAATACAGAAGTTAGATTTGACCGCAGTCGTGCAGATCTAGAGTCCAGTCTGCAACCGCTTTGTAACCACCAGTCTCTAGGGAAGAATGTGATTCCCCAACCAGCTGGCAAGTGGTTGCTGGAAGTTGTTAGTTGGCATTGGTTGCAAACAGGTATGTTGTTTTGCACCACCAATTGCAAACACTCACCAACTACTTGCCAAGTGGTGGTTGAACTGTGAAAGTGCAATGCGAACCCGAAACGAAGACCATTCACCTTCAAAGTTAACGCTGGGGCTTTAGAAATATGTTGGTTGCATTTTGAAAGGCATCACTTTTACTTTGATATTCTCGGTTTTCCAGTTTGCATCGCATTTCTTTCGCGTTTCCCTACCTCTTTGTGGTTAGTTAGCGAGTGCTTCCAGACAGTTCAACATCGTCCATGCAAACTACAGGTGATTGTGGCAGCCTGCTAGCAACCAAAGCACTCACAAAGAAATGTGTGGTGCAGCACCATGTCCCTCTCTTAGACCGGCCAGCAACTTCTCCCTACCAAACTGATTGGGAAATACACATTTTTCCTTAGCAACTGGTAGTTGCCATGAGGTCGCCAAGCTGTCTCCAGACCTGTGTGACTGAGGCTTTAGCTGACTTCTTTTACCTACCCCTTATCAGTTTATAAGACTAATACTTCAACATTATAACTGTTATTAGTGTAACGTGCTATATGGTAAATGTCAGTTTACCATATATAGCAAGCATAAATTCACAATATGAAAAACATATTTCTGCTTTCCTGCATCTGTTAAATGGGCTGCAATGCTCTTTGAAGGTTCATTAACTGGTTGCTCTGGATTTTTTGGATCTGGTCATGTGATTCTTACCAGCAGGAGTTTGGAGATCGCCCAGTTGCTGTTTCATGTTGAAACTCCATCTACTTCCCCACCCACCGGTTCCAGGGTGGGCATTGCTGGCTAATGTTGTCTATTACCATCCTTGGTGCTTAGCTATTGAGATTTTATTGCATGTCATTCCCAGTTCCACTCTTGCTCCATTTCCTGCTGTCACACTACTAAAGAGAGGAAAAGTTCTTCCACAAACTTCTTTTGAAAACATACATTTAAATTGAATAAAAAAAAATTATTATAATTAAGGGTCATGTTATGTATTTATGTTTAAAAAAATATCAGACTCATATTATTCTTAGTGTATCAGCAGCTTTTTGACTGTTCAGCAGATAATGTCCTTATACATAAGAATAATTTACATTAACAGATTAATTTGATGACCCATGACAGCTATATACAGCTTCAACAAGTCATTCAGTTGTTAATGTAAGGTAAAAAATTAAACACTTATAAAATGACAGTAGGAACTCCCACAGAGGGGAAAAGATGGGGGACATCACCGAGACCGTGAAAACTGACTGTATGAGTGTTGTTGCTGGGCGAGAGTGGAAACAACTCTACCTCTGCCTCATGGACTGAAGTGGTTTTAGTGTTGGTGGGTTTTATTCTAAACATGCTTTCGAAAAAAAGATTGCAAGTCCTTATTATTATTTCCCTTTAAAATGCTTTTCTTGATAAGGTGACATTTAGAAAATGATTTAGTGGATTAAAGGATTTAAGCTATGTCAGCAATAAATATCCAAGAGCTGCACCTTTAACTGTGTAATATTTACCTGTTTGAAAGGATGTAATGTTTTATATTTGTATAATTGAGCAGCAGGTTTTACAGACATGGTAGAGAAATTTATGGATCTTTAAAGTACTGTGAAATTTCTGAAAGCAGCAACAAGTTCCTCAACTGAACGATGATATTGGACGTCTGAAAAACGTATTCTACCCTTACTGAAGCTAAAAAAGACTGCTGCCACATCAAAGGACTAGAAGTGTGTTAAGAATCAGGTGACTGTCATGAAGGAGTCTGACTTACTGAAAAGAATATGGTCTGTGATAAAATACAACAGGTTTTCATAATCTTAAATGTTAGAAAATGGTGTGTGAAGGCATTTCACTACACAGGGTGAAGGATTTTAGGTGTGGATCCTATGCACAAACATGTAGCATGTAGCCAAACTTGTCACGGCTGCAGCGGCAGTCGTATGGGGTTGAAGGAAAAAGGACCCAATCACAGGCTGACGATGCAATGAGTGAGCTTTATTTACCATCAAAATACAAAACAGAAACCAAAGCTAAGAACAAGAAAATCCTAACAAGAATTAACTTGAAACATAAGATAATAATCAAAACCAAAACCACTGAGTCCACAGGTTTAGGACCATGACAAGACTGGGATGATGTATGTAGCATGCTGATTGGTTAAAAGTGGCTTTGAACAGGAAAAGAAGTAACAGCTGAATTCATCACAAAGAAGGAGGAGCTAAAAAAAACCAAACGTAAAAAAAGCAGCACGAGAAGCACAGACAGTGACTACAGGGGACATTTTTAACCCTGACACACAAACATACACACACATCAGCTACACGTCACGTACTTTCAGCGTGCACTAACCACAAATTGTATTAAGAGCTTGCACAAATGAACCGCAGGGTCATTTTCTGGCACAGTAGTCATGGAAGTAGAGATCACATTCGATGGGTGGGTACGCGCGGATTTCTAACAAGCGGGACAACTCAGAAGTGTACTGAGCTTTCAAGACACCTGGGATATAGCGACATGAATTTTTTATCAGAACTCCGACACCAGTGGTTTCTCACAATGACTGTTTTCTTCGGGTTTCTTGAAGTGATAAATTATCAATTTCACAAAAGTTGACAAAGCGCCGCAGGTGCTGAAAATCTCATCACTAAAGATTTTGATGCAAAGCGGCTTTTAGAGGCATTGTTAAAAATTGCTGGAATGAATGTTTATCACTGTTGGTATTCCACATTGTTCCTTAAAGCATGTTTTGTTTTGCAATCATCCCCACCAGTCAGGACTGACTAGACACAAATCCTGCCTGTCGCGCACACGGGAACACACACACACACACACATACACACACACATTACAGGAAGCTGCCAACAACCACAACAGGAACCAGAGTTTCCTGCTGTCAGTCATTAAGCCTCCACAGTGAAGTGACTGGACACCTTGTCGCTAGATGATGAGTGTTTTCCTTTCAATTACCCCACCCATTTTTTTCCGGAGGCAGCCAGTGATTTACCCCAGCGGTTCACTTTCCCAGCTGCTCCTTTGACTTCATCACAGTTACCAATCACACACCGTACAATAAGTAGCAGTCATCTCTGCAGAAGCTAGCTCGCCTATAATCTAGTATATGTGAACATCCTGTGTCCAGTTTACAGTTTGAAACTTTACTTTCTTTTGGTTTATTTTCACCTTCTTGTGGCCTACATCTGTAAAGATGCTCTATTTTATAGTATTATCATCAAGTAACTAAAACCACTAAGGAGATTGCTGAAGGTACTAAAATTGGTTTAAGAACTGTCCAACGCATTATTAATGGATAGTGGTGAGCCACCAACATCATCATCGAGTAAGAAATGTAGTCAACACAAATCTTGATTGACGAGAAAGAAAAGAAAAGTTAAGATGTTGTTACAATTAAAGTTACCAAAAGTATCCACTTTTGGTAAGATATGCAGAAATCCAAATATGACAGGATATAAAAGGAAATTAATCCAAATAAATCTCGAGCAACATTTTCAGAATGCAGTTTTCCATATTTACATTTCCACTCCACGTTTGACTGATTCAGTTCATTAGTTACATTTACACATTTAAATAAGTAATGAGTAAACACTGGCTCGTAAATGATGCTTCTAGTTATTTGTAAGTGAAGAGAGCATATAAAAGTTTTGATTTTATAGCGATAGCTTCTCCTTGAGTGCACTTATTGCACATCACCATTGATCTGCCAGATTACTGTAATAATACACAAATGTCAGCACACAGCACTCTTTTGGCAATTACTCCACAATTACCAAACAGCGAATTAAAAAGCCTTTTGTATGTACACAGTTTACTAAACGGTGAAAAGCTTCCCTGCAAAACAAAATCTGTCACAGTGACCGCTACCTGCTTTGTTTTTAAGTTTATTTTTTAAAATCCGGACGCAAGTGTCAGAAATAAGCACACATGCAAAACACAAACTTCAGTCAGGGTTAGTAGATGTTTTCAAGGATCCAGACAGATGAAATTCTATCTTGGGAACTTCTTGTTTACTTTTTTTTTTTTTTCTTTCAATATTCCCTCCAAGTGTGAGCTGAAGAGGACTCAGCAAACTGAAGAAAACTATTTTTGTGGCACACATACTTGTCACACTTGTCAGTAAACTCATTTACACAAGGCTGAGGCTGCATGCCCGCATGCATATGCACACTGTATTATGTAGAGCCTGATCAAAAATTAATGGAGCAGAAATGTCCTTGAAAGTTAAAAGATGCCTATGAATTTGCAAATGAGAAGCCAAAAATTGCTCTCCGCTAAATTGGAGTACCCTTTCTGCATTTCACCCTGTAATTTGTTGATTTGTCAAATATTCACACATGAATGGTTTCGCTGTCCCCTGTGGGCCACTGTAGGCAAATTGTGGCTGAACAGTCCTTTCCAGTGCATTCTGCGTTAGAAAAAAAGACAGGTTTTGGTCAGAAAACAATAGCCTGAAGAGAAAACATGAAAATAAGGCCAGCAGTAGAGGAAAATACAGCATCAAGACAAAAAAACAAAACAAAAACAAGAAACAATAAAAGCCCAAAAATGGAGCAGAAGGAGAATCTGCAGCATCTTTCTTCATATGTTGTCTAACCATTTTTTAAATTTTGAATATATGCAATAAAATACACCTTCTAGGTATCTGTTCTTACTTTAGACATGTAAAATCTGCACCTATCAATCCCACTGCCTCTGTTTACCTGCAATGCTTAAGTGCCCTGTCCACTGTAACATATGTCAGTTTTACTTATTTACATCCTTCTGCAAACTTGCTTATGGCATGAAGTGATTAGGGAAGACATAGAGCACCATAAAGCGGCGTTGATGGGAGTTTCCCACACAGATGTCTTAATGAAAATAATAAACAGTGACCGCAATAATGCTTAATGAGGTTAGGAGCACACAAAGAGGGGTGGACTTTTTGTAAAGATATATGAGCTGATCTGCTGGGAAAAACACAACAATGCCTGACAGCTCTTTGTGTTCTTTTGCACCTCTGTTTGAATCTCATGTAGTCTCCTAGAAAAAAATACCGGTGGTTACATTTTAAGAAAATTGCAGGTTCCAGCACAAAAAAGGGAGAATGCGTTTCTTAAATTTTAGCAGAAGCATATAATTTGAGAGAGACAGAAAAACTTAATTAAAACAAGCAAAAAAAACAAAACCACGGTATGAAACAAAACATGGCATGTATCATGATACGTGACAAGCATGCAAAGAACTAGCAAATGTCCAAAATTTCCTAAACTTTGGGAAATAATTAATCCGTTTTTTTAAATTTTAAAACACCTACTTTCATCTCTTCCAAACACTGATCCTGCCCATCTTCCCCTACGGCTCTGAAACCAAGACATTGACAAGTTTGAGGTGTTCTAAATGCATTGTCTACGACAAGCCCTTGGAGTTTCTATAAGTGATCACATGGGAAACAAAATCACTGGAGACTGTTGCCAGCAGCAACCAACTGGCAGTGACCAAATGCATCAACGTCAACTTCAATGGTTTGTGCACCAGGTCAACTACCACACTAATTACAGCGTGCTCATTGGCACGTCAAACAAAAATGCCAAAGAAAACATGGACCAAACAGACTGGGGACAACTTAAAGGGCCAACAATTTGATCTCGAGCAAGCTACAACCAATGCCACTGATCGAAAGTCTTTGAAGAATGTCACTTAGAGAGCTTGACATCCTGCGGACCTACAGTACACCACAGTCGACCACCTGGACCAGCTGCCAGCTAGGACCCAAAGAAGAAAAGAACATTTTGAAACTTCTGCATTAACATGAAAAAACTGTTTTGATTTATCTATCTTGTCTATGGTTTTCTATGCTTTAACTTAAGGATGTCAAATTGTGTCGACTGTGGTTACAAATTGAGAAATAAATTTAAAATGTAAACTTCTGATAAAACTCCACAAGGTTTATGAGAAACTATTAATCAATCAAAATCCATACAGCGTTACTGCCATGGGCTACAGACGGAAAAGTTACCAGCATCATTAAAGGGGAAAATGTTTGCCCCCTTAGACAGTCAGCGTGGACTCTGTGCGTGCCTTCTCAGTGGGAAATTTACATTGCAATGCACCAGCTATGCATGCGCCCAGGCAGCTGACATCAAGGCGATTTCAAGTATGACAGGAATGACTACTCGGCCATCAGGTCTCCAGCTGTCTGTGTATGTGTCAGCAACCAAGTATAAAGGCTCGAGGCATGTGCGACTGCACTAAGTGAAGTTTTTCCCCTCAAAGCCAAGACAAGGAATTGGGACAAAATAGCGCCCTGTTTTTACGCAGAACTGCATTTTTCTTACATAGCTCTGAGAGATATTTGCAGACACTTGTGATTTTAAAATTAATGAACAAAAGAGTCACACTTTTATTATATCGTTTGGAGTTGCAGATGTCTTCTGCCAGTGTTGGTCTATGGGGAGAAATTGCTTTTTTCAGAGGAGGTTTGGAACTCAACGAGGCTCTGTAACTTCACACAGTCTGCTGCTTCATAGTTGAGTTGCTGTGGTTCTTAAATGCTTCCGCTTTGTAATAATTCCACTTAGAAATCCAAGTGGGAAGAAATTTCACAAACTAACTTGTCACAATGGTGGGACTCAGTGAGCTCTTTAGATTGACCCGCTCTTTCACTAATGTTTGTTAAGGCAGACCATGTGGCCAGGTGCTTCATTTTATACACCTGTGGTAGTGGGATTAGTGTGGCCTAATATTATTTTCTATACAGGGTGTGGTTGGTTGTAATTTTTCAGCTAGCTCTCATACTATTAGTGAAATCAGTACTTGGAAAAAATGCACAACAGTTACACAGAGCACACAAACTGTTGTATTATCATCTGTATTCTTGTTTCCACTCTTTCCCCCATCATCACCAGCCTCTGATCTGTCTGCTGTTTGGTCCTGGGTTGTATTTTGCTCTTCTGACCTCATACGATATGGTTCCGACCTAATAAACCCACTGTTGTTCAAAAACAGGCAGAAGCCCATTTTAGCTGATACTTGGAGCCCCGGTGGATTTGTGACAATAGATTTTTTTTGTGTGTTACCTGCACAGACGGATTATGCTTTCAAATCTCAGGTATTAGTGGGCTTACCACGGGGATTACGCTTTGTACTTGATTCACGTTCGGTTCGAACAGATAATGCACCGGCATAGAGACAAGAACGACAAAAAAATTGAAAACTGATCAGAAGTTTGGACAGACAGCAGATACATTAATCATCTCAAAGATTCACCTTGCTGTCAAAAGTGGGTGGTTTTCTCTTTTGACCAAGTATTGCGTGACTCCAGCAGATTTGTAACACTTTTTTATTTTTCTGCTACTTTGTGTACACTTGGGCATTAATCCAAAATTGGAAGGCCTTTTTATGACATGAATGTGGAGTCTCATTAATATAAATTGATATTCTTGTCACATCTTGGAGACTTTGCATAAGGCTTCTTTAAAAGTCTCACATTTTAATTTAAAAATAGAATTTTCTTATTTTTGTCAACTTGTTGCTATAATGTGTTTAGCTAAAGCGAATTACTTATTTTATAGGTGTGTCTGTTACAGTCATTGCTTTTTCTAGTTAATGCCAAAATTGCTATTACAGGCATAGCCCATCTCTTTAGCATCTTCAAATTGCTTATCTGTTGGCCCAGATAATAGACACCAGCCTTAGGAGAGAAAATCCTCCAGTTTAGAGCCACAAAATTCAGGCAGTGATATTTGTCACTAAGCCATAATTAGGAAACAGTTTTTTGATATATGGTTGTAATTTCTAGGGCATAAGGTTAATTTTATCTCATCCCTCTGTCTCTCTCAGAAATTATATTGGATCTTTTGCTTCCTGCCCGTATCAGGTTTTTGCACTTATGGCAGATGAAGTTGCTGACCCAACTAGAGATGTAATTGTTGCAGTAAAGGCTGTACTTGCTCCTCTTAAGAAAAAAAGGGCTCGAGGCAATTTGCTCTAAAATATATGTACTAGTTGTAAACAGAGTGTAAGGTAAAGGTTTCCCGAGGGGGAACCATCTTTATGACTCGGTCTCGTACACCAGTTACTGACAAAACAAATGGTTTGGATTTATATTTCCCCTTTTTGATGGCACATTTCTGTCTCCACTCCTTGACTCTTCTTCTTCACTGTAGTTCTCATGAAAGCTGCAAAAGAAAATAAATAAATAAATTCAAAGCATTCTCGAGGTTGATGGACTGCCAAAGTGTCAAACAGTCTCAGGTTGCAGTAACTTCTCTTCTTGCTTGCTGACCTCCCTGCTGCTAGACAAGGGCTTGGACTTTACCAAGCTGTTGCAGAAGGGTTCTGCTGAGAGAGATATACAGTACCCTCTACACTATTGAACTGTCATATATATTAACCTCAACTAACTCACGCCGGCATGCTGCTGGGTAAGAATTTATCTTAGCCAAAGTGTAGAACCTGGGCCATGGATGTCTGAAAAATAAATGCACTTCACTGCAGCAGCAGGGTCTCTTAAGGTCAGCGAACACATCACTTCATTCTGTTTGTAGCATTAAATTCAGACTAACACTGCAGACACTAAATATTGATGTTTAGTGATGCTCTCAGCGTTACATGTTTTGATGAAAGGAAAAGAAAATTTCAGAAAGTGTTAAGAAATCAGGAAAAGTTGCACAAAAAAAGTAGTTGATTGATCAACTGAATGGTCAGATTTATCTCTGAAGTATTGTGTCAGGTTTTTGCTAGATTTTTCCTTTTTCCTAAAGACATGACTTTCAGATAATTAGTTTCCTGCAAATAGCTTTTTGGGCTGTCACTTTGTCCTTTGTCCTCCCCTTTTCCAGTGTCCTCAAACTGTTTGAAGGACACACTGAACACCATGTAGAGATATTCCAGGTTTTTGGCTAATAGTTAAAAATAAACTTTCTGGTACAAAAATATTATTTCATGTTTGTCAAACCATTGTATTTGGCATTTTTTCATAAATCCAGCTAAAGAAATGTGAACAAATATGCATGAGAGTGAAAAAGCAACCGATGTCTAAGGAAAAATGTTAAAAATAACTTTAAAAGTGCCTCAGAAAACCTGGAAAACTGTTGCACAAGACCAGTTTAAAACAACATATATGGCTCCTTGGAAGCAAAATATAAAGAATGGAATGACTCGGGACTTTTGCACAGTACTGCATTTTGATACATATGTTGCCAGTTTTCTCTTGTGTGTTGTTTTGAGCTTCACTTCCTCCCCCGTCTCATTGTCTTCCCCGGTCATCACTTGACTATAAAAAGCCCTGGTTTGTGGCAGTGTTACTTCCTGTCTTGTTCCAGTTTATATTCTTTTCTGTAAAGTCCCTTTTGTCCCAGACTTTTGGGTTACTTCTGCTCCTTACATCTTTGGGCTTTGTTTTTAGAGATCAGTTATTAAAGCTCGCTTTTTGTCGTGAACTATGTCTTCCACTTTCTACACTTTTTTACTGTTGGATTTATCAACAGTAAAAACATTATTACTTCATATACACATTCACACATAGCTTGAATCAATTTCACCCAAGTGCAGCAGACATTACAAAAATCTATCTATCTCTCTATCTCTCTATCTCTCTATCGAGATATATATATATATATAAATAAATGGAGTTTATCTTTTATCACAGATGCGTTTCGCTGGTTCAGGCAAATTATCTTTCCTTGGGGTCAATAAACACATCAGGTCATAGTGGATTAATAGAAGAAAAACACCTTTGATTTGAGCCTGACCTCATTTGCTACAGCCTGACTCATTCTCTCTTTGTTTATGATAAAAGTGCCTGTAGCAGTTGTACATTCAGATGTTGTTTTCATTCGTATAACATGTGAAAGACCAGATTTATAACTTCAGGGGCTCTACTCTACTCCCACTTTAATATTGTTTTATAATACTGAAGAAAAATGAAAATGTCTTATTTTATATACGGTCTTCTTTTTGTTTCTCATTTCTATGACACGGGCATTTTAATAATGTACATTTGATCAGAAATTCACTGCCTGTTTTCCTGACATCGCATATCTTTGTATTCTTACGTGCTCAAAGTTTTTAGGTTTGTGTCTTGATGTCAAATTCTCCTTTGTGTGTCTTGCAGTTGGGCGAGGACACTTTCAACCGCGCTAAGTTGTTGAACGTTGGATATACGGAGGCTTTGAAGGATGCAGAATATGACTGCTTCATCTTCAGTGACGTTGACCTGATCCCGATGGACGACCGCAACCTCTACCACTGCTACGACCAGCCGAGACATTTTGCCATCGCCATGGACAAGTTTGGCTTCAGGTGATGGAATGAGATCCAGTTTCACCACTCGTTTGTCTGAAACACTGACAGCCCACACATGGTTTTATTTGTCTGGTGGACTCTATACATGTCTTGCCAACTCCAATTATTGTTGTACATCATTCTTCTATGCTGTAAATACATTGAATTTAAATCTGCTAGTTCCTGCCTAACTGAATTTCCCCTACAGCCTTTGTTCTGACAGACAATCGTGAAAGAACAGTCTTTAATTTGAGTAAATCTCATTATACTTTGAATCCCTTGTCTGCAGCCTTAATTAGTATGAAAACTCACCACAGTTCACTGCTGCCAAGTTTGATCAGTTCGTACTAACAAGAGCACATGTTTCAGAGTGTAACTAACGAGTTTGGACTACAGCAAGTGAAGAGACCTTTGGTAACTGTGAAGCCTTTGTGCAAACTGAATTAGCTGGATGAGCCTATTATCAAATGTTATTACTGTTTCATTGCTGCTGTCTTATTTGCCATCGTTACTTTTAATTGAGTCATAATAAACAAAATATATGTGCTAAACAATTGTTAGTGAGTGAGGACACATGGGAAGTTTAACAGACTCTGTGGCAAAGACTTGGAGGAAAGACATGGCTATTTATGCACATAAGGTTTTCAGGGAAATGGAGACACAACAGACTCGCATTGAAACCAACAAAAAAACCTTTCAGATAAAAAAGGTAATATTTAAAGGTGTATGTTTAAGTAAAGGTTTATACTCTAAAAAGGTTCATGTATTTCCTTAGCAATTTATTCAACTTCAGCTCCAGTTACGCAGGTCTTTAACTGGTCTGGTCTGAAACCATAGACAACCACAGGTCACTAGACAAAAAGGTGTATTTCATGACTGGCTGGTGAGTGGCTGCTGAAGGTTGTTGGCACTACCTACATGTAGGTGAAATTCATTGCTCAAGGTTTAAAGTGTTGTGCTGAAAACTTCTTGCGATTGCTTTGCTCACTAACAGATTGTTGTGGTCACCTACCCTGTGTACTTTGCAATCATTATCCCACTGCTTGCCAAGCGGTAGACAACCTGTGAGACACAAAGGAGAAAAAGAAAGAGTTCACCTTCAAACTAACACATTTCAGAATATGTAAGTTTTACTTTGAAGGCAAATACTCTGAAAAAGTGCATTGCACAAGTTTCACTATCATATGTAGAATAGTTGACAAGTGTTTGCAGATAAGTTGGTGTCTTCCATGCAAACTCCTTCCTACATGGCTGGGGGATAGGAAAGGGAGAAAGAAATATGAAGGAAAAGAAAAACAAAGAGGAAGAGGGACAGTGAGAAAGGGCACTTAAAAATAGTGTGCAAACTCCTGGAAACTATTGTAGGCTGCTTGCAACCAATGCAATCAGCTCCCAAAAACTGCCAGCAATCTGTAGCAACTACTTGCTAACCAGTTGGAGAACATACATTTACCATAGTTATCAAAGGTTAACAGGGGTGCAAACAAGTCTGTAGGCCTGTGTGACTAGGGCCTTTGTGTTTTGGGGGGACTGGAGTCAGCTGTCATAAGGCAGAACGCAGGTAAACCTAGGACAGGTCACTTGCTCAGTTAGAATTACTGAATAATCCAACCGATGTGTTTCATTGGGCTCTACGTCTCTAATTTCTAATGCAGGATAACCCAAAGAGGTCCAGAGCCCTGAATGGCTGGGTCCTGTCTAAGCATCTTTTTGCATAATGACACCACACCTACCCTCAATTATCTAAAAGCACTGGAAGTATTGATGAATACTCTAAATATGGCCAGTGATGTGACCTGGCCATCCAAAAGCTGTCAGTCCACAAGAGTTATCCTACTGAAAACCCTCAGGGGCTCCTGCAGGTCCCTGATATAGTGCTCAATAAGCTAATGCTATCTGGCAACAAATACAATGCAGGTGGTAAGAAGGGCTGAAGCTTACATTTCTTAATAGCAATTAATCAGTAAAGACTTAAAATGGTTTCATCAGGTTTTTTTGGCTCCTCTGAAATAAAGAAAAGGGCATACAGTGAAAGGACAGCCTGGAGGTGAGAGTGACTGGAAGGTCAGAGAATTGATTGTGGTTAATTACTTATGTTAAAATGAGATTGTTGAAGAAAACTGATTCCAAGGTCAGCGTGGTCTGAATCAGCCTATCAACTCATTTGTTCAGTACTTCAAATTTAAGCATGTAAAAAGTTCATAAACTTCTAAGCTGTGCAAGAAAAAAATGCAGCAGACTCCAGTGACTTTTGAGCACATTTTTAAAGTGAGTACCTTTCAGTATTTTGGCCCTGTCGTTTTATGAAGGCAACTTCAGTCATTTCAAAATGTAAAAGGAGCAGACGTTTCTGATAAATGGTGGAAATGGTAAAAACACTAACAGTGAAAGTCAGGTCACACACGATACAGGGAAATACTGGAACAATCAATACCTAGAAATAAGAAACCGTAAATGCTAGTGAATAAAAGAAAATAAAAACCTGAGGAACGGCTAAACTCAACTACAAATAGCAAGGGCAGCTAAGCACCAATGGCGTGTCCAGCGGGGTGGCCTGGGGGGGCACAGGCCACCCCCCCAACCAGACTGGCCACCCCAGGTGCCACCCCAAAGGCAAAACAATAAATTCAATCAAATATCAAATGTCCGATTATGTTTTCACGGTGAAGCTCAGATATCCGAGTGTAAGTGAATGCAGCATCGCTTCTGCGCTATGCGCATCACGTTAGCAAAGGTAGGAGAGCCAAGCAGAAAGAGCACTGCAGGAAACAATTTTTCGGTGAAAGAAAATGAGGACAGAATAAATGTCCCGGTAAGTAATATTAAGTTTGTTGAGTTTAGTAAACTTCGGTGAAATTAGAATACCAAGGAAAAAATAACACTTAAAGAATTATTGCAGCCGTCGAATATATCAGACAGTATGCTACAGAGGGGAGCTAACATAAGAGTTATGAGTTATAAGATATAATCCAAGTCGTAACATTGCTGTATGGAGCTGCAGATTTGGTTGCAGGTTAACATAGCTGGACTGGCCATCGGGCATACCGGGCATATGCCCGATGACTTATTTTTTATTTTTTTTTGTAACGGCATGAACAATGAGAGGTGGTGGATTGGCCAGATGCAGGTCGATGTGTAGAAATAACTCGTTGTTTGGTGGTGGCTATGACGGGGCTTCCACAGAGGTGGATGAGGGAAGGGGAGGCAGGAGGAGAGCCCCGAGGCAGCCGCCAGTCCGAGTGTCAGGTGAACTGAACTTCAGGTAAGAAGTTATGACCTGCAGTCTATCTGGGTCAGATTTAAACCAAGTTCAGGTGGAGTTTATTTTCGTTGTGCTGACTTTTTACCCTCAGTTGCAATAACTCGTACTGCATTCTAGCCAGTTTGACGGAGTTTTTATACAGCTGGGTGGGTGCTATGATGTTACTGATAGTGAACTTTATTTTATTCATAAGGTTAGTTAGTAGAGTTGCCAACGGCTCCTTAAAAAAATGGAATGGTCCCTCAATCAGAGAAAATATTACGCGTTTCGTATTGAGCTGAGAAGAGACACAGTTTGTCCCGAACTTTAGCTAGAATGGAAAAAGACACAAAGCTGGAGTTATTCTGTCGTTACGCTGCACAGCTGCCTCTTCTTCTCTCATTCTCTCCCCCTCCCTCTCCCGTTTCTACTTCAATCATGAAACTGATCAATGATCAGCTGATCGTTTTTTCTCTCTTGTTTATTTATCGCCCACTTTGCCAGAAAGAGGAAACCAGCGGATGTCGCGCTAAACAACAGCAGCACGTTTAAGCTTGATCAGCTGTTGTTAGAATTTATTTAATATTAATTTCTATCAGCTGATGTTTGCTGGAGCCACAGCTGTAAAGCTGCTGGTCATGATGTCGGTTTGGATATGTGGTGAGAGGGAAACATGAAGATGAAACCAGGAGATGTCCTTACTGAATCATCAGAGCTGAACCGTGATGGAGAAACAGGTTTACCTTTTAGGTGACATGAATGAGTTGAAGGGAAGTTATGAGCTGTTTCTGAGAGACAAATAACACCAGGATCCTTTTTTAGGCAGCTGACAGCTGGTAACTGTGCAGGGGTGGATCTAGCAAAGTTTTGCCAGGGGTCCATGTAGGGCATTAACAGGGAAAGATGGGCACAAAGAAATACTTTTCTTTCTTATCCTCATTTAAAATATCTAGCTTTTATTAAATAATTATCTGAATCTTACAACCAAAGTTTTTATCTGACGTAAAATGTATAGATGTTTACCATAAGGCAGCATAGAAAGTATTTACTTGCTTTCAGGTTTTATTCAAATGTTAGTCTTTTCAGTTGTTTCTCCACTTTTTTCCTGTTTCAAAATCACCAGTTTGTGAGAAGATTATCTTCTTTTTTTAACAGGCAGATAAAGTTTTGCATTGGCATTGGCTAATTTGTCAATTGTTTGTTACAAATGTTCGTATTTTAATATTAAAAACTGTTTTTGCCCAAAACATATGTGCACTACATGGCAGTAAAAATACTATGCAAATATTGCTGTCCTTGAATGCTGAGTAAACACTGACAAAGCACTGATTGTATCTCTTGTACTTTATCAACGCAGTATCTAAAAACTTTGCACCGTAGTGGATAAAATCTCATTCTAATAAGAGTTAAAAGCGCATTTGGTTATTAGGTTTATAGGGTTATTGAATTATGGTTAACGGTTGGTAGAATTTGTTTTAAACATTATCTGCCAATTACATCTGCCACCCTTCTCCAAATCTGTGCCCCTACCTGGCCCCCCCAACAAAAATTTTCTAGACACGCCACTGCTAAGCACTAGAGGTAAATGCTAAGGAAAACAACGAGATACATTATAAGAAATAAGCTTACAAGGAATCAAACAGAATATATTTAATAAAAACTCCAAAAACCCTGGACCGTGACACAGGTGCCGTTTCATCACATGAAGTGTGGGATGTCACTTCACTATCTCTTGAAATTAACTGCTGTTATAATTCCAAATTAATTTCTAATTAAT